CCAGGCAAACTCCTTTGAGGCTAAGATGCTTCCACCTATCCAAGACAGCCAAGAATCTATATAGTTTTTTCTTTTTTCTGCAAGACACTTTCAGATGATCGCTTTCATCTGACACGTCCCAATCTCCTAGAAGTTCCCTCATCGTGAATCCTTCCCGCTTCTGCTCCATTTTGCCGCATAGCATCTGCTGCCACCGCAGCTGGCATTCGTCCTTCCCGTGCCAGTTGACGCCCCAGCGGGCCAGCTCGCTGGAGGCCAGGGGAGACGGCTGGAAGGGCGAGACGAGTGAGACTCAACCAGTGAGCCAAGTGGAGTTCCCCAAAAAGAACCAGGGAAGAGGAGACAATTAATATAGACTGTAGACTGATATAGACGAACACACATCAGTTTTAGTGCTTAAAGGATCTCTCGATAAGGATTGATGGCTTAAGAGTAGTAAGGCCCTGAGATTCAACAAATAACTGATTATATTTATACTATATATACTATATAATATATAGTCTTTTTGTTGGGCATATCACAGAGAAAAGCTTCCAAATGCGGCTCAATCACACAAGACTGGCTCGTGCATGCTGCAGTTTCCTTTGACCTCCTTACTCGGTGCCTCGGTCCCGCCAGTGGGTCACGGGGTCGAGTGGCAGAGCGGCGCCAATCCTCCGGGAAGAAACCTCCAGGTATTCTTTGGAGGGATTTTTTGCTTCGTTGGGAGTACAGTGGTGTGGTGCTGAAGAGATTGGGGATGAGACTGGAGCTGACAGGAAGATGCCCTGGCCGACGAGAACGCAGGCAGCATCGTCTGGCAAAACGGGGGCAAAACGCACCCTCGTCTCCGGATCGCATGCGATCGCCGCGGGGATGGGGATGGGGTCAAAGCACAGCCCACAATGGGCAGGTGATTCTGGTGGATCGCATCCTTAGCAGAAACCGCTGAGTGACCAGATTGTAGGGTTCAGCACAATTACAGACTCCATGGGAGCCATACGTGTAGGCCTACAATGTTGGCATATATGTCATATGGATCCATATGGACCAGCTTCTTCAAAGTGACTCTTAGGAGGCCAAAGTGACCGAACCAACCAGGTTATCAAGTACGACCCTTGCACTCGGACCATCGCCGGTGTCTTCTCTGCCGAGACATCGCCCCTTCTTTGGCCCAGACATGACCTTTGTTTTCACAGGGAAAGAGTCTGTTTTGGGTGGTTGGTGATCTAAAATAGAGGTCACTCAAACTCTAGGTCAAATCTCAGAAGGTGTGGTCATGAAGTACTGCGGCTGACTCCAACTGGAGCGTTTGTTAAGGCCTCTTCCAGAACGGATGGTCCGGGCCTCAATCCGCGAGTCGATCCGATGGGTGAGGGGATGAGCCGACCCGGTTCGTCCGACCGGTGGAGGCTACCAGCACCCGACTTCACAGGTCACCGGTTGAAACAGGCCTAACAATCCTAAAACACGGGTAGTTTGTTCTGGATTCGAACCATTAAATCTAAAGGTTTTTGGAATTCCAGTGATGACGTCGACGCCTCTCTTCGCTCGTTTCAGGTGGAACATAGGCCCCTGGGTCTTCCATGTGCCTCGTCTTTTGTTTCCTACTTCCACAGTGTCGACGGACCGGCATGCGGCACACCCCAAAATCAGCAGGGCAGTGCCAAAATCGTAAAAACAAATAAAAACTCGCAGGAACCTGACATAGAACCTGAAAATCCTTGAACATACACCATTGGGAAGATACGATTCTGTTTGCAAGACCAGTGTTTTCATGTGTTTTCAGGTTCTATGATGTTCTATGTTGGTCTGCAATTGGGTGTATCTCCAGGAAATCTCCACCTGTCTTACTCCCACACCACAAGCAGCTTTTGCTGCTTCAAATCCAGCGATTCGACCATCCATCCCTGGGCGCCGAAGCCGCACCCGGCGGGGTTTCTGGTGGATTCCAAGCTTGGGTTGTTTGATGATGTTTGATTCCCAGACCATCCTTGTGTGGAATATGATCCTCTATAGATATATACAGCATGTTAAATGTGTATTAATAAGTACCATGCATGGATCGTCTGGAATTGGTGTGTGAACGTTCAGGTCTCTCAACCTCTCTTGGAGTGAAACGCCGGCTGAACCGGTCCCCTGCTCACTGTAGCTCGGTGGCCCTGCGCGACACCAGGTTGGTCCTGAGACCCGGCGAAGCGCCACAAGCCGTGCCGCTGTTGTGGTGCGTTGGGCGGCCCAGTGCGACGTCTCGCGGTGGATATGACAGACTTGGAAGGTGGAGCCAACAAGTGGGTGGAGAATGAGATATAAGATGATATATAGTCTACCTCTCCAGCTTCCACCCCCGGTGCCCCTCCTTTTCGGGCCACCGGAGTCGCTCCGGCACCCCTCGGTCGACGGCAGGTGTCGCACCGGGTCTTCAAGGCGCTGCAGGGCGCGCAGCAGGCGGCCAGCGAGGTGCTGGCGGACGTGGCCACTGGGACCGGTGTAGGGTAGGGTGGTGGGGGCAGGGCGGGGGCACCTGAGATGGTTCTTTCAGGTTCTTTCCATGTCAGCTTCCGAACACCACCTGATCCTCCATCCCTTTCAGCAGTCAGGACCGGAACCATTGACTGGTCGACGGACGTCCAGGTTCCCGGTGCGACGGCACGGTGCTGCGTTCCATGTTCCTTCCGTCCCAACGGAACACGGCACGACCTATTGCCACTGAAAGGGGACGAGAGGGGTGAGTCCGCGCTCAAAGCGACGTTCGCAGCGTTTCGATGCTTTTGGGCAACTAAGGAAGGCTCCCATGGGCCTCTGTCGAAGCTGCTGGATGAAGACACTCAGGTGAGGATGCTTTATTTTAGCTATTTTGCAAATTGTCAGGTGGTTTAGCTATGGTTGTGTGATGTTGTGTGCATTTTTTATGCTATTTTTCGACATGATCAAGTGACCCATAACACAAAAACCTGTATATACACTGTAAACAGCCACATGTTTTAGGACACGCAAGGTGAGAAGTGCACGGAGCCTCACTGTGTTCCTTAAAATACACACTGTGTTTTGTGGAAGAACAGACATGTTTTGGCAATTCATCGTCTCGTTTCGTGTGTCGTTTTTCAGAGCAAAATGCAAAATCCCAGTGCCATAGCAGCCAACTCGCCCTCGCGCCCTCTTTCCCCCCCGGAAGAATCTTCTGTCGTCACATCGATAACTCATCACCATCGTGTTCTTCTAATCACAGGAACGAGACCAGCCCACACCCACCCGATGTGTTTCATTTTGGTGACTAATCCCTGTCTGGTCTCACCCCCTCGAAACCACCCCAAAGAATCTTCTGTCATCGAGAGAGTACTCATCATGTTGTGAGGTTGATGAACATATGTGAAACCGATCATCATGCTCTCTACAGATCCACATCCTCATCAGAACGAAAGAATCATCCGGTCTTCTCATCCGCCACCAGGTCGATCTAGAGTTGGATCGACAGAGCGATGGTCAAGTCATGAGCACCACTACACAAACCAAGCAGGTTCACTTTCCGACCGGTTCCCTCTCAGATAGGACTGTCGAAGCATTCAGAAGATTGACCTGCAATGACACCGTTGTTCCCCTGTCCCCCACCTGTGTCACGCCACGCGGTTCAAACAAAGTCCAGCTAGCAACTGTTATAGTTGCCCGGGAAAAGAAACCAAGTGTGCCTTACCCCACAGCCATGGCGTGACTCCACGGCCGGCGTGACAACTTCAATGCAACTTCTCCATCTGGCGTCTCTTTGGGGTCAACACCTATACACCTCACCTGTCAGCTTGCTAGTTTCTTTCCTCCCAAGGCCGATGGATTCTCATGTTCCAACAAGAATAGCTTCTATAATAGTCATTTCTAGTCCATTTATAAGTGAGGAGGGGATGTATAATGGGCACCCACTCCAAGCTCGGCACCTCTTTATGGAACTCCACGGTTTCCAGGATTGTAGGAGGACACCCGGCAGAGTTGGGCCAGAGTTGGGCACCAAACAGGCGATACGAAGGAGTACTTTTTGGGATCCAATCAACCTCAAGTGATTGGAAGGGAAATGGGCGTGCATCAACTTAGGGAGACCTCATGAGACCTCCCAGAATTCAACCCCTTCCGGGAAGGTTCGGAATTCCACGAAAAAGCTTTCAAACCCATTGGTTGGGGATCTCCCTAGTTTAAACCACATAAAACTCCCATCACATACCAGGACCCACTGGAGTTGGGTGGTGAATGGACACCCCGAATCACCTCTAAAGGGCTATCATAGAAGCCCCTTAGGGTGTATCAATAAACCACCCATCTCACTCGGGTGGAAGCGTCTTTTAACGAAGGTCTGGCGCGACGAGTTGGAGCCCCGCTGCGAAGATGCGGCGCTGGCGGGCGCCAGCGTGGCCTTTAACAAGAGCCACTGGGGTGGCAGAGTGGGAGAGGTTTTGGAAAGGCGGAGTGAAGGGAGGGGGTTGAAGTACTGTGAAGAGGGTGTGTGGGGTGTTTAGGTGTTTTTGAGAGGATTGGAGAGGTGTCTTGGGTATTTTGTGATCGTTCTTTGATTCGCTTAAAAGGGGTGATGGAGAATGAATGAGAATGATGTGTTTGTCCTACATAAAACAGCCGGGCATTGGAAGGTGGGATACTGGGTCAACGCGAGTGGAGCAGGGCAGGGCAGCTGGATGAGTTCAACCTCTGGAACCAAAGAGAGAAATGCCTGATGTCGACTCCCATCTTCCAGAAGATGAACAAGATGGAACACGTGGATCTTATTTCGGGGGTTCCAGTCCCGAGCAACACCGGCAAGAGAGGGGCCAAGTTGGCCCCTATATATCTGGCGCATCCGTACCATGTACCTGGGTCCTAGGTCAGGTCTCTCAACCTCGAAAACGACAACCCTCGGTCCTCCTGCGTTCTCACCCCTCTCGCGCGATTGATTGGGGTGTCTCAGCATGTAACCTTCTACTCCCCTTGTGTCTCCGAATCCGCCGAGCAATGCTCGCCGCCCAGGCGCGGCGTTGAAGAAGCCCATGCGACCCTTCTGTTGCTCTTTGGCCGACTTGGAAGAGGCGGGGCTTCCAGGTCTCTGCAGGCGAACAGGAGGCGGAGGCGCTGGGTCCCACCGGTGTTCTTCGGATCGTGACTGGTGAAAGAGAGGTGTGACCCGAGCGCCTGCGCCCCACCTTTTCATATCCGTGGAGAAAGGCTGACCAACTGACTGAGGGGGTCAGTGAAGGTGGGAAGGGCGGAGCCAAGAATGGCAGGACCTTGCCCCACATTGGTATATATATATATCTCTAGAATGCACGTTGGGGTTTGTTTGGGATCCCATGGGCACGGGAAGTTCCAAGAACTATCCCAACGTGCCCAGGGTACGGTGGACATCTCCTCACACTCGACATATGCCTTGTTGAATTTCAATGTTTTCCCCTCTGGTTGCAGCAAGACCCCAAAAGCCGGAATGACCTCCAAACATGCCAAGAAAGATGAGCAGAACGGCAACCAGAGAGGGAAAGGAATGTCCAACCAGACTTTTGGCAGTGGGCCTTTTATATAATATCAATTTCTTTATCAAAGCTATAACACCGTCCTTTTTTAACATGACAATATTGACATATCATAGGCATATCAACATACGACAATTAATGTATTTCTTAAACAGTCATCAACAAGATATTTCTCAAATAACTTCTCATTAATTTTATATTCTAATTTTTTGTATGATGTTATTCTTTTCATAGTCTGTATAACATCATGTAACACCAAGATGGCCAAAGGCCATGACATGCAAGGACCCTGCTCTCCATGCAGGCCTGCGAAGAGGTGGGCCTCCACCCAACCGTCGCGGCCAGCGAGCCGGAGGAGGCAAAGCAGCTCCGCCCGGAGCTCCGTGGGAGGTCCTTCCTATAGCAGCACGGACTCTACACGGTCCCCTCGCTTTTGTTGGGCTTAGGAAGGACTCCTCCTTGGCATAGGAGGTTGAAGCATGTTGAACCATTGACATATTACTCTCCCTGAGTCCCTAACATGGAAGTTGAACACCACCTGTTTGTAGTGGATGTCATGGTCTTCCTTTCGGGGCCATGGCATCCACGTCACCATGGGGCCGTTCCAGAGAGTGTCATTGGAGGGGCAGAGCTTAGAGAGAGGACATCGACCACAGTCCGAGACATCAGAGTGCCTATGAAAAAGGCGAAGAGGGGTGATCCGGGACGAGGTGGCGTCGAGACCGGGAGAGTGGCGAAGTGGTGTAATCTAGTGGTGTGAAGACCAGTGGTGACCCAGAACAGATGATCATGATCCAGGTGTACACCTCCATGTTTGACCCCAATGCAGCCGATGCATAACTTATATAACTATATTCCATGGATGGTCTGGGTTTGGACACGAGCACCCAGAGTCGAAGCAACTCACCCCGCGACCTCCCATCAACCTCTCTGACTCCGGTGGGACGCACCAAACCCGGGAGGACCCGGAGGACTCTCGCCCACCTTGGAGATGCAGATGCCTAGAGTGGACCTGCAGTGACCATTTTGGAACTTCCATCACCTAAAAACAGGGCGTCGGCGTCATGTTTGTTTTCGCCTAGACTGGACACACCCTGGCTTGGGATGTTGCTATGTTGCTTGATAAGCCTTGGAACCGGCCCAGGTCTTGACCGGGCGACCCGACCGGGCAACCCAACCACCCAAGCTGCTGTTTGCTGTCTCTCCAGGTGGCACCTGCCCTGCAAGGGCTCCTGCAACGAGGTGCCTGACGGTCTCCAGTGCGGGACGGTCCGTTCCAGTGTGGGTGGACGTGGTGTCGAGGGAATTTTGAGGATCCAAACGAACACCGATTCTCCAAGTTCCCCGTAGAGGTACAGGTAGAGTCTTCAAGAAAGAGAAACAAAGACACATGTCCTGTACAGAATAGAGTCCTAGAGGCAACTAAAGGTAGGGAGTTATACAACTACATATGAGCCAAAGCCGAAAGGGGCCAGACATGACACCACTGGAGCTGAGCAGCTCGGCTGCCGCCGAGCAGCTTCGGATCCACCAGGGCGGGCGATTTCCCACTTGTTTCATGGCACTTGCTTTCGTGAGTCGAAGAAGGGGAGAGGATTTGTTTGTTTTTCCAACAACGGCAGAGCCCATCATCTCAACTTTCCGTCACTGCTCGCTTCGTGAGTTCGTGCTCTAACGCTGGATGGATGGATGTGGGAGTGGCGACTCGAGTTGATGCAGAAGATGTGTCCGCAACCTCTCAGACGTCAAACCGTTCGGCGCGACCCCGCCCAGCACCGCCCCCTCCAGCACCACGACTCGTTGCACCCCCGCCGACGGTGTCAGGTTTCAGAGGTGACAGGGACACATGTCCCGCTTCTTGGGGACACGGACAGGGGGACCTGGCGGGGGTATTTCGGGAACCGAGCTCGCGCGCGGTCGCAGAGCTTTTTCAGCGCATGAAGTACCCCAGCGCTTCGGAAGGATTTTGACGTTCCCAATTTTTCCATTGGGCCTCCTCAGAGTCAGTCCCAACCTGTTGGGGATCTTGGGTGAGACCCTGCACCGGCGCTGCCGGGACCTGCGCGAAGCGCTGCGACCCGCAGGTGCCTTGCAGCCCTTGTTGGACGAACACTGTGGGGACTCTCAGGGTGGTGCGACTGAGGGGTGCGACTCGCCTGGCCAAGGGCCTTCAGAGATGGATACCTTGGGATCCAGCCACCCCCATTCCTCTAGGATTCGCAGTCAGAAGAGAGGGAAGGAAGATCCTCGAGCTGTGCTTACCTCCAGGCGGAATGCAGGGCTTTTGGTTTTGCAGGCCACAAACGACATGGTGTGATTGGTTTTTCGCATGGTGAGATTGGTTGGCTACAGCAGGTGCCGGCACCACGCTGTAGTTTGCAGATCGATCTCACTAGTTTCTGATAGACACTTGGCTCGGCCCTCCGCGCGATCCACTCGGATCCTCCTTTCATGTCCCAGGGCCCGTCTCTTCCGATCCCAACGGTTGCCGAAGCTCTGCGCGACCTTTATCTTTCCTAAGAATCCAATCGTAGCTGTCCAAGCGCGCGCGCTTTACATCTGAATGTTGATGGATCAACCCCCTTCAAGAAAAGCCAAGCATCTCATCACCAGGGGTGTCAGCAAGGCTCACAGACCTTCAGTTCCTCTCAGGTGTCCATCCCCCGCCGCTTGGTGCTGCGAGGCCCCTCCGGCCATGCTTGGTCCACATGGTCCATATGGTCGCAGCGGAACCCCTGACCCGATGTTCCGGCGCGGTTCCGCCGTTCCGGCGCGGTTCCAGCGTGGGATCGAAGCGCCGGAGGTTGGAACGCTTTGGTGGGCGCGAAGAAGCTCTCGAGCAAGCAGGATGATGGGCCGGGTCGCTCTTTGGTTCCGGCGGACGGGACGGGAGCGACGCCGGTTGGGGGGGGAAGAAATTCGTCGCAACGCACTTTCAAGGACCTCTAGGGCATAGGGCATAGGACAGGGTCCCGTTCACTGGGGACAAATGCCTTGCCGTGAAAGGGTGAAATAGGTCACGCGATACTTCTTGGGGCACGTTGAGGGGGTCGTCGTGACGCATTACATGGCTGTAGCCGGACTCTCCCCAAGCAACCCGAGCGCCAGTTCCTTTTCAAGTGGCCTGCTCAACTAAGCTTCCAATAACGCCAGTGTTTGCAAAACAAGGCGACCAACATAGATGCTTCGAGAAGCAGATCGAACCTCAAGATACTAACTATCAAACATAGCACACTGTTTTCATGGCAAATGAGATTGTTTGGCCGAACTCGTTTTGTCCGCCAATTCCACTGGTGTGAACCAGTTGAGACAGGTCTCTCACGGCTGCATCCTTTGTCTCCACCGATCCCACATGGACAGGTCCTTCTCGGTCACCAAAACACCTCAGGGGGGGGACATGGACAGGTCCGTCGCTCGGCAGGAGATGCTGGGCCGGCGGCTGGATGGACGGCTCCGGGGACTCTGCTCCACCATCAACGGCGTGGGCATGAGTCGACCCAGGTCGGGGGGGGCGGGGTGGGATGGAGTAGACATCCGGTGTGTATCTTTATGGATTCTTTTCTACCCTGGCTGGGTAGACTGGTCCATGTTCCTTGTGATCTGACTGGAAGGTCTCCCTATCCCTATTTTACACACACCCACATGTGGAGAAGTGTTTGGGTCTACGCGGGGCGACGATTTGGGGAGGCAACGACATCTTGGTCAAGTGCCTCCGGTCGAGAGTGGGTGGTGCCCTAATTACAAGTCTTCAAAGACATCATTTTATTGGATGATCATGATGATCATACAATAAATTACAAAAACAACAAAAACAACGTAACAACGTAACAACGTAAAAACAACAACATAACAACAGCATAACAACAACATAACAACAACATAACAACAACATAACAACACCAAAACAACACCAAAACAACACCAAAACAACACCAAAACAACACCAAAACAACA